GAAGGTGGCTATACAAAACAACAGATTTTCAATGAAGACGAAACAGCCTTATACTGGAAGAAGATGCCACCTAGGACTTTTGCAGTTAAAGAGCAGAAGTTAATGCCTGGCTTCAAAGCTTCAAAGGACAGGCAGACTCCCTTGCAAAGGGCTAACACAGCTGGTGATTTTAAGCTAATGCTCATTTACCATTCTGAAAATCCTAGGGCTCTGCATGTGCTCTATACATGGAACAACAAAGCCTGGATGACAGCATATCTGCTTACAACATGGTTTACTGAATATTTTAAGCTCATTGTTCAGACCTATAGCTCAGGAAAAAAAGATTCTTTTCAAAATATTGCTGCTCGTTGACAATGCACCTGGTCACCCAAGAGCTCTGATGGAGATGTTCAGTGAGATTAATGTTGTTTCCACACTTGCTAATACAACATCCCTTCTGCATTCTTTGGATCAAGGAGTAATTGTAACTTTCAAGTCTTATTATTTAAGAAATACTTTTCATAAGACTACAGCCATCACACATAGTGATTCCTTTGATGGATCTGGGCAAACTGAAAACTTTCTGGAAAGGATTCTACATTCTAGATGCCATTAGGAATATCTGTGATTTCACAGGAAGAGGTCAGAATATCAAGTTTAACAGCAAGCTGAAAAGAGTTGATTTGAACCCTCATGGATGACTCTGAGGGGTTCAAGACTTCAGTGGAGGAAGTAACTGCAGATGTGGTGTAAATAGCAAAAGGACTAGAATCAGAAGTTGAGCATGAAGATGGGATTGAATTGCTACAATTCATTGCAAAACTTGAATGGATGAGGAGTTGCTTGTTATGGATAAGCAAAGAAAGTCATTTCTTGAGATGGAATATACTCCTGGGAAGATGCTGTGAAGACTACTGAAATGACAACACAGGATTTAGAATATTCTATAAACTTAGCTGATAAAGCAGCAGTTGGGTTTAAGAGGGCTGACTCCAGTTCTGAAAGAACTACTGTGGGCAAGATGGTATCAAACACCACTGCATGTTACAGAGAAATCATTTGTGACAGGAAGAGTCAGTCAACTGAACCTCACTGGCAAATGTCACCGTTGTCTTATTTTTAAGAAACTGCTACAGCCACCTCAACCTTCAGCAACCACCATCCCGATCACAGTCAGCAGCCTTCCATGGCAAAAAGATTACAACTCACTGAAGGCTCATATGATTGTTAGCATTTTTTTAGGAATAAAGTATTTTGTGTGTGTATATATATATCTATATATATATACACACACATATTTATATATATGTATGTATATATTTATTGAAGTATAGTCGGTTTATAATGTGTCAATTTCTGATGTACAGCACAATACTTCAGTCATATAGGAATATACATATAATCACTGTCATATTTTTTTTCACCATAGGTTACCACAAGATATTGAATACAGTTCCCTGTGCTATACAGTGTAATTCAATAAAGTATTTTTAAATTTAGGTATGTATATTGTTTTTTTTATTCATGGCTCACTTTATTGCAATATTCACTGTACTTTGGTGGTCTGGAACTGAATCTGAAACATTTCCAAAGTATGCCTGTATTAGATAACACAGATTATTCAATAGAACAATATTCTACAGAATATTCCCATCATCACAGAAAGTTCCACTGAATGGTGATGATCTAGATAGCAAAATACCAGCATTTCTGGAACATTTTAATGGTTTATGTGAAGCAAATTAGGGCAAATTGTTAAAATTAGGATGGTTCTGAAAATCAGGATTTATGACTAATGTAAATCGAACCTATCTCAGAAAGTCATAAGTCTCCAAGTGGTTCTTGGAAGAAATCATATATACTCTTAACACAGTGTAATTCAAAACGTGGTCTGCCTTTAGCGCTGTTTGTTACCAGTCGGCAGTAAGTCCAGAAATTGAGAGTGTTTAGAAATTTACGAAGCAACTTAACATTGCTTTGACATTTTTATTGTATTTTACAAAAGTACCACTCTACAATTAATTGGAAATTTTAAAAACTAGTCTTTTGCCACAGAACTGGAGAAGCACTACTCTAGAACACGTGTGACAATGAATGTTATTAAAGAACAGAGCTCATATAGTCAGTTCTTCCAATTACCATTATCTCATCATAACTTCAGAATTTAAAACAGGAACTGAAATCTTATCAATGATCAACTAAAACACAGAAGTTAATTGACTCAAAGTGATAAAACCAGTTGGCCAACAGAACTGAACTAAGAAAACTAACATTTATTGAGGGTCAAAGTGTAACCATGTAGATAATTGCAAATATACAATTATTTATTCTTTGCAAACACAGTGTTAGGTATTATTTCCAGTTTTACAGATGAGGATCAAAGAAGTTTAGTAATTTGCTCAAAGTCACAAAATTTGCTGGAAGTTAATAAATGTACCTCTTCATGTTTTACTCAGCCTCCTGTGGAGGCTAAAAAGAGATCAAATACACAGAAAGATTCCAGGAAAGGGAAAAGACAAGACTGATATCCCTGTATAACTCAGGTGGACAGTATAAAGTGAAGAACAAATTCCTCTCTAAATAAAAATTTTATTTACAAACCGTAAATAGACTCACAGATACAAAAAACAAACTGTGGTTACCGGGGGGAAGGCGGGGGGTGGTGGTAGATAAGATTAGGAGTTTGAGATTAACAGATACACATTACTATATATAAAATAGATAAACAACAAGCACCTACTGTATAGCACAGGGAACTATATTCAATTTCTTGTAATGAGCAGTAATAGAAAAGAAACTGAAAAAATATACATGAATGTATGTGTATGTATACTGAATCGCTTTGCTGTACACTTGAAACTAACATTGTAAACTGACTACACTTCAATAAAAAATAATTAAACAAGTTTATACTGTACAGCACAGGCAACTATATTCAATATCTTGTAGTAACCTACAATGAAAAAGAATATGAAAATACATATGTATGACTGAAACATTAAACAGTATATCAGAAACTGACACAACATTGTAAACTGACTATATTTCAATTAAAAAAAAAGAATTTTAAAAAACTCCAGGGGGCAGGGTATAGCTCACTGGTAGAGTGCATGCTTAGCATGCACAGCATGCAGGAGGTCCTGAGTTCAATCCCCAGTACCTTCTCTAAAAATCAATAAATAAACCTAATTATGCACCCCCCATCAAAACACAAAAAATAAATTAAAAAATTTTTTAATAAAAAATTAAAAAACCCCAAATTCCTCTCAGGAATGTGTCCATATGAGCTAAGGAGCAGGAGATATGATGTTCAATATTGTTAATTTTGATGGAATACACAATGTATGGCTGTAAGCATAACTGATGCCATCCTAGGTCCATTTAGTTCCTCTTGTCCTTCCACTGACCCTACCTAGGACTATATTGTGTAATAAACCTCTTCTCTGTCATCAAGGGCTATTTTAGTAGATATTAATGATCATTAGGTCTAGGTGGCCTCTATGCTCTGTTAGTCTTTAAACAACAATGAAGACCTTTGCTGACATACTCCCAGTGTCCCCGAAACTAGTTACCCATTCATAAATCTTGACTTCCCATTTCCAAGCATGTACCCACAAACCCTAGGTTAACTATAAAACTGTCCCAATAGTCCTTCAGCAGTGCAGAGTGCAGCTGCAAATGCTTCCGGATTGTTGTGTAACCGATCCTATCCTACGAGTAAGCTACCCTATAATAAACTGATTCACTGATTATATGGAGCTGCATGTCTCATTTTTTGTTCTCAAGGTAACTTCTCAGTTCAGTGGGTACCTTTTGTTCCCCTCCGCCCTCCAAAACACAAACTCAACAATTCCCTATGGGAGTCAAGTTACTGCTGAGATTCTCAAAATACTTAGCCCTCATATACAAAAAAAGGAAACAGATGACAACTAGGGCCACAAATCCAAGGAACCCTTCCCCCTGACCATCTAGCAAAACACAAATGACTTTTGGTTTATAACAGTTCTTCCCAATTAAGCTGCATATGGCTTGAATCATATACTCTGCCTACCTCTCAACTCCTAACTTATTTCATATAAACTACCAAATACTCCTACTGACCACCTATGGTCTCGGTGTCAACCTGGGTACACAGATCTGATGCTGTATTTCTGGTAAACATAAAAAAATGTAACCCAAAGGGAAGGAAGATGAAGCACAGTTGTGTTCAAGATTATGAGTCCCATAGAGACACAACTAGTGTTCACTTTTATGTGCTGCTTTTTTTTTTTTTGAACAAAACTATAACTACTATCAGGTCAGTTTTTTTCAATGGATTTCCAGGGAGGTAAATGCTTCTATATCCAAATGGGAAATAATTCTTTTTTTCCCCAATGACGGTTTTTCTGGTTTGAAATAGTCTTCCCTTAACCCTACCACCACTTCAAACAAGAAACATGTTCTCATTCCCACAGAAGAAAGATTAAGAGACTACCTGGCTCTAGGCAAACAGGAGAGTCCTCAGCATTTTCTCCAATGTGCCTAGCAAAACTCCAAACACAACAATGCCCTGTAGGACTGATTTACCCACCCAGCATGGTGCCAACAAAGTTATCTTGCTTAAACTTAATAGTATCAGTTAGCAGAGGGGCAGAAAGAATGAAATAACTTTCTCAATTTTGTTCCACAGAACCTCCAAATTTTGTTTCTAGGTACTTTTGACCTAAAGACAGGATTGTCTTCCCCTGATTATTCAATTTCCATTATGCCTACATCACAAGTTAAAGCAGATGTAACAAGTTTTAAAATCACTGAAATCAACATCTTGACCAGCCTGCATGGAAGCTTTGAAAACAATCTGTGGGAAAAACAATTAGCTTTGTGAAACAATTCCCAAATGCAATCAATAGTCAGTGAGAGGAAGTAATAGTAAAAGGAGGGCATTAAATGATGTGCTGAGCAGCCAACTCTATACTCAGGACAGTCATTTCCAGACTATGAGCCCCAAAGGCTGTAATATTGCAAAAACAGTATCTTACCTTTCTGGAGATTGAAGAGACGTTCAAACCGAATCTTTGAGCTCTTTCTTTTAGCTTATCCATGTTAACCTACAAAAACATAGGAAAAAAATTTTAAGAATCAAAACAGAAAATATGGAAAGCATAAACTATGGTCCAAAGCTAAGAGTTCAAGTAAGCCTACACACAGATACCCTATGTGCCACTAATCTACGCCACTAATTATTAAAAGGCCTCTCCTGGAATGCAGTGAAAGATTCAGCCCTGCCTCCTTCATTTATCAAAGGTGGCAAGACCCCAAGGAGGGTATAAGATCAAAGTAGGCCAAATACTGCTTGAAAAAGCAAACAAATGTCTAAATCATCACCTCCAAACAAGTCCATCATTCACAGTCCAAAACTGTTAATTCCTATATACAGTCTTGGCAAGTAGTTCTTAACTACCTCCTAGCAAAGAGAAACTATCACTGCAGTTATCCTTGCTTCAGAAGATAAATCTACTACCAGTACCCAACTCAATTTTATTCCTTACTTTTTCTTGGAAGCCCTGACATGTAAGACTTATCATAAGGACATTTGGGACATTTTCATTACTACTACTGTTCTAATTACTACTACTACCACCACCACTACTATTACCACTACCACTACTACCACTACAACATTTCGCCTTCACTTACAGTATTGATCTATAACCCCAAGAGCAGGATTTCATAATGCTGAATATAGTTTGCAGCATTTATTCCCATTTTCTAAATATGCTGAATAGTCATAATGGCCCAGAAGGGATCTTATTCTACTAGTCTTTATTCCCTGGTTTTATATTTAATAATTAGTGTTGAAAATTCCCAGTATCTACAAATAGAACTCATAAGTTGCTTCCATAGATTCTCTTGTGGTAATTAAGAACCAGACATTATTCAAAGCCATTGGTTGAGGCCTAAAAACTCCAGTACCATAAAACAAAGAGCTACATGGACTGTCCTCAAGCTAACAAAATCTACCCACTTTTTTTTCCCAAGAGGAGTGGCAGGAAGAAAGAGATCTATAATGACTTTGAAGATGCAGCAATTTTCCCAACCTCTCAGTACCTCAAACAATTCTTTTTATTCAGGACATAAAACACTGCACTGAAAACAGTCACCAAACTCCTATGATCTCAATTTCCTCTTATCTGGGGAGAAGTAAATCTCTAACTTTAACTGTACAGAGTTAAGATTTGGCACTCAGGGTTGAGAAAAAAAAATTTCTTACCATAGGCTTAGTGTCAGATGACAGGCCTAAAGAAGTAAATTAAAAAGGTTTATTTAATATTTTTAAAAGTTGTAAAGAAAGTTGACAGTCTTCAAATCAAGTGAGACAGCACAGAAATCATATATAGGATAAATATCCTTTATCCTATGAAGGGAAAGAAAAGGCAGAAATTATATCTAGAGATCATGTCTGCATTCATTGCTGATGGGAACATAAAAGAGTACAGCCGCTTTGGAAAACATTTTGATGGTTCCTCAAAAAGTTAAACATGGAGTTTACCATATGACCTAGCAATCTGACTCCTAGGTAACTCCCCGAGAAATGAAAATATATATCTACACAAAAATTCAGATATGAATGTTCACAGTAGCATTATCCATAGTAGCCAAAAAGTGAAAATAACCCAAATGTACACTAACTGATGGAAAGATAAAATGTGGTATATCAGTACAACACAGTATTATCCAATAATAAAAAGAAAGGAAGTAATGACATATCCTAAAACATGGATGAACCCTGAATACATTACGTTAAGTGAAAGAAGGCAGTCACCAAAGACCATGAATTACGAGATACCATTTATATGAAGGCAAATTTATATATACAGAAAAAATTTAGTGGTTGCTTGCTGGAGGTTGGGGGGGAGGTGATGAGTAAAACTGCTAATGGGTACGGGGTTTCTTTTTGGAGTGATGAATATGCCCTAAAATTAGACTGTGATGATGGTTACACAATCCTGTGAATATATAAAAAACACTGAATTGCATACTTTAAATGGATGAGCTGTATGACATAGGAATTATATCTCAATAAAGCTGTTTTAAAAAAGAGAAAGACACTATATCTGGACAAAAGAGCACAGCCACTATCATAACGAGTTAAAATCATGATCTCTTAAAGCCAATGTTCGGTCCTGAAATTATCACTAGTAAGTAGTATACTGGCCTATAGGCCCAACCCCAATCTAGTCAGTAATTATTTATTTAAAACTTGACAGAATTTTATTTTAAGCAACCTCAATCTTGTAATTGGTTCCCTAATTGTCCACCGTAAACATTCAGGTATGGACTCAACATTTACCATAGCTATTTGCTAGGAACTTTTAAGTATTTTTATGTTCTCACTCATAAAAACAATACTTCCTTTAACTGCTGCCAAATTCTATTCTTTTAAGAGCCACTCTGTAGTTCTCCAGATTATACAGATAGCACTGCAAATGTTATCTTTACATTATTTTATTGACAATCTTCCTTTTCAGGCTAAGTATTAATTTTAACTTTTGTCTTTCTTCAAATAGCACCATCTAATAATGCCTTTAATAATTTTTATTGTACCATCACCAATCCTATTATCTCTCTCAATGTAACTAAAAGCCAGAAAATATTTTGTTTCTAAAACATGTAGTAACAGTGACCAAAATTTTGCTGGACTTTTATTAAAAAGCATAGCAAAACTCTCTAAGATTTTTGAAGCACATTTTCTTAACAGACTTGAAACTACTAACAGGTCACTAGAAGACTAGATTGGATCAGGAGACTACATTTAAAGTCTCTGAGAAAAGGAACTATGTTCTTTTTAAAAAGTATAACTTTGCTCCCTAATTTATTACAAATATATACTCACTGCAGAAATTTAAAAAACAGGCATTTAAAATTCTACCAACCAGAGATAATGTGTTATCAATTCAGTATATATCCCTCCAATCTTTTTTCCTATCCATAGTGCATTTTTATTACTAAAATAGGAACACACTACAAATATTATTTTATAATGTTTTTTCCATTTATGTGTTTGACAAATATTCTTCAATATAATTTTTAACATCTGCATAGTCTTCAACTGTACTATGATACATATTTATTTAACCAATTCTCTATTGTATATTACATTGTTTCCAATTATTGATAACTATAATGCTGTGATAATCCTTGTGGCTAAGTCTTTAAACATAGCTAAAGTTTTCTCCTTGTAATTTCCTAGAAGGTAAAAGATACTCTCTTCTTCTCTTTGCCACTCACACTAGGCAGTACTAACAATGGGCAGGTACACAGTAATTACATGCTGACTTGTGAAATCAGAATAAATAAGTAAGGTACTAGAAACTTCCCTAAAGATGTCTAAGAAAAGGAAAACAGATGTTGGTGCTTCCTTCTATTCTCTCATAACTTCAGTACCTTCTCTAAATTGCCCAGGAAGGGTTAAGCATGGTTTTACCTAAAGCACAGAGGTGAATATAATAACCGCTTAAAGGCTTCTAGCACTAACAAGTTTACCTTAATTTGGAGAAATGGAATCTGTTGTGCCAAAAAAGTAAGACCATAAAGATAACTTTCTCAGAAGTCTCTGTATTCTTACCTTTTGACGGAACGGAAGAAATCCCAAATCTGTAGAAAGAAAAACAAGCTAAATTTTAGGAAGCTGTTCACACTCTTGGTTGTCTGTCTCCGTGTCAAGTGTACATATGGCACTTCTTGCTTGTGATCTCAAGCCTTGCAATCATTAGCTAATTCTAACAACCCCATGAAAGAGGTCCAGTTGACTCTTTTTCTCACCAAGAGTCCAGAGAATAAACTAAAAGGAAGCCTTATCAGAACTGGGAGTGGCAGTCAGTTCCTGACTTTCACCTATTACAAAAACCCTGTTTGACAATAAAACCCAATCTAGAGCTACTATATTGAATGAGCAGACAAGTCCTGAACAAAGTCAAGAGAGTTATTTCTTTTCGGCAAAGGCCTCTATTTCACTTAAAATCAACAATTATATTTAAAACCTAGGAACACACTTCCTCACCTTCGTATGATCACTATCTCAGGTCCAAAACGATGGGGACACTCACCTAGCTGCTCTGGCAGCTTTCTTACTCTCCAAGCTCACAGGTACATTGAATCGTTCAGCTCTCTTCTGCATTCTCTAAGTGGTAATAGACAAAAGAAGGGGGAGAGAAACACTCATTTTCTGGTTTTCTTCTTTTAAGAGAAAAGTTGTTAAGAGGTGTGTATCTTTAGAACATAAAGAGTAATTTCTTAGGTCTAAACTGAGTTATATTGACAATCTTAGAGGATATCAGGGTGCACCCCTCTCAGGGCTTAACTCAACAGCCCTTTCCAGAAAGCAAACACAAAAAGACTATTATTACATTCATGTCCTCAAAAACAAAAGGGAAGGAATAAAATAAAACCCACATTCTGCATCAAGCCAAGAAGACAAAAGCTGTGTTTGGTTGACCTTTGAAAAGGGATCAAAGGAACAGCTTGGTTCCAACACTAGTTGTACTCTTTCAATTAGAAATGAGGCAGTGTTGTCCTATGCCATCTCTACTTTAAAGGTACAAAAAGAACACAGATCTTGACTGGAACATAGTTTCAGAGATCTTGAGATGGAATTCAGAGAAATTTCAATCTCTCCATCTAGCCAGTAGTAACTTACAAGTGGTATCTTCCCTTGTTACTTTTCAGCTCTTCCAAGGTACAATCCTCCCAAACTCTAATCCTAGTTTGTAAATATCTTAAAAAGAGTTACCACTAAGACCAGAATATTATACACAAAAAGACTAGGGCTTCAAAGGTGACTATGCCAGCCAGAGTATTTTCCCAAATATAGTTAGTTGGTGGAAAAATGTATCAATACCAAAATCTGTCAATATTGATTTTCTGCCTATAAGTAAAATTTTTAAAGTGATGATATAGATAGAATAGAGGCTAAGAAATAGAAAACAAAAACTAAAACATATATATATAGACTGCTCCTCTAAAAGAATACATACCTCTGTTTGTGGTATTTCAGATGTAATTTTTACTACTTTCTTCTCTGCTGCCCTGGAAAAGAAAGAGATTTTCAAAATCAAAAAACTGATATTCTAAACCAAAACCTCAGAATTGTATAAGAATTTACCGGAGTTATATCCTCTGTCCCCTCTCTCTCTGCCTTCCCTTTGACCAAAAAAAACATGAAGCCCATTAGCTCTTCAGTTCCTTAAACTGTCGTCTATTGATAAAGAGTTCAGATAATAGACTAAGATACTTCGCTAGAATATAAGAAAGTAACCAGGAAAGAAGTTAATATACTGGGTGAACGGTAACACTTAAAGGACATTGGAAACCATTTCATTTACCTTTAGGAACTTTAAATGTACTTCTGGAGTAATGACTATTCTTCTAACCCTCATTTAAATACCAGCTCTCAATGTTCATCACAACAGTTAATGAGTGCTCTACAAGGTCTGGTTTCCTTCTTTTACAAATCCCTTATTTCTCCCATGGGGACTCTAGTTCTAGCTGAAACAGTCAAAGTGGGACAAATAAAAATGCCAAAGGGAGTAGAAAGAAAAAAGCCTAAGAGGAGTTTGAATTAGGACAACATGGTAAGTTACTAGTCAAAAGGTTTAAGAGAAAACAAAAGCAGGGGGTGGTGGTGGGGTGGACCAGAGGGGTGGGAGACAAAGTTCGGAAGTACCTAGGATAAATGGAAGGGTATTAACTCTCCACCAAACAACTCCCATAAAACTGTGGGTCATAACCAGTCTCATTAAGGTCCCTCATTTAGGGACATAGGCGGCTTTTGTTCAAATATCCCGGACACTTTTCCCATTTGATGCCCTGAAAGGTAGTAATGGTGTAATAGCATTTTCAGAGGAAGCAATTCTGTAACAGGAACTTACTCTCTCCTCCATCCTTTTGTTGGAAGTCCCTGGACTCACAGATAAGCAATGGGAGCCCCCTGCTGACCATAACTAAGTCCTGCAATATTTAACTGCCTTAGCTTGGGGTGGGGGTGGAAATCAAACTAGAAACAGAGGTATTTCTTTGGAGAACCTCAAGCGAAAAACAAAGCAAAGGGATCTCCTTTTGAATGGTCAAAAGACCTAAATTAGCCCTGTATATTCTGACTTTAAAAGAAATTTCTGAATTCTTTCCATTTCCTGGTCATCCTTCCTTCCCCAACCCTCTGTTTTGTTCAGGCAGAGAGGGCCACTGAAGTTTAATGTTTTACTTGAAGTCCAATGCCATTAAAAAAGCAGTCCTCTCCACCAAACCCCAGGCTAATGACTTCCTCCACATTCCCATCTTAAAGCACAATCATTGTAGCACACCTCATGGCAGAAAGGGAACAAGGAGAGAGGAAGCTTCCTTCTGCTCTGTTCCAACTCCCTCAGGCACAATTAAGCTCAAGCAATAAATACACATTATATTCTGGGACTCATTCTTCTGTTCACTGAGAAGTTTCTCTCCTATCCAGTCATATACAAAACATTCTCCAAAATACAGGGACCCAGAACCTTTCTGTATATACTTTAGTCTAATCACTACTAGCTCTTTAAAAAGCAAAAGCACCCCCTCAACACACACACAATTTCAATTCCCTTGTTTAGAAATTCACTGATAAAATTAAAGCACTTTAAACAAGAGAATTACATATTTTAGATATTTTAAAGATAATGAACTTCTATAAATTTTTAAATTTCATTATTTTTAACCCACACAGGCCAATTATTACTGTATTTACCTCATCTTCCTTCTTGCCCCATTAAGTCCTCAAAACATCTCTATCTTAAAGCTATTCCATTAGGCATTTTCTCAAGGCATTATACCTAGACACTAACCTCCTATGATGGAAGGTAAGTAAATGATTTTAGAAAGCAGTAATATTTGAGAAAATCTAATAAAACATTAAATGCACATCCCCTATGTTGCCTCAAATCCATTGCTAGAAATTTATCCTACGGATACATCTGCATAAATTTAAAACTAGTTGTATAAGGACATGTAGTGCTGCATTTTCTGTAATTATGAATAATCTAAATGTCCATCAACAGGAGACTTGTGAAATTACTGTTCATTCAAAGGATGGAGTATTATTAGCTGCCAGAAAGAATACAATTCCAAGTTGATGGGTTCATGGGGGTCTATATACTATTCTCATAATTTTTATATATACTTGTAATATCCCATAATAACTAAAAAAAAAAAAAAAAAGAGCGAGACCTACTACTTACTAGGATAATTATTCCCATTTCACAGGGTTGAAGTGAGGATTAAATGAGAATACATGCAAAATAGTTAGAACCTTGCCTACTATATAACTATATTTAAATAAGGACATTATTATATAATATAGAAAGAGCTCTGTATGTGAAAAAAAAATCAAGAAACCAACAATTTGCATGGTGTGTACATATGTAACTGTATATACACATATACACACAGCATATAAAATATTCCAGAAGCATATACTGAAAACATCTGGGAAGTCAGGTGGGGATGAAAACAAGGGTACTTAATTTTCAATTTATATACTCCTCTATGTACTGTTTTACTTTTTACTAGTACATATATTATCTTTTATAATTAAATAGATTAATACAGCTATGAGGAACAAAAATGTTAAAAAGGACTCAACTGTTCTTAATGTGCTGGAGTATAAGATGGCCAGACATTTGTGGGGCGATCCCAAATAAAAGATGTTTGTGATCAATCTTGTGGAATAATTTGAATAAATCAAGATTCACTTTCTACTCTAGTACTCTGTCCTCCCCTCCACCACTGTAAGTCAAAAGGAAGAGAGAATACAGTGTTACTTTGAGACATAATCTCTGCTCAGCACCCTCCTCCCTTACAAAATTCTTTATATGCAGAAAATTTGCATGACTCTATACAGAAAGAGAATCATCTATTACAGTTATACAACAAAGGCTAGGAGAACTAAACTTTATCTGGGCTTGAAGTCTCCAGCTCCTAATTATTACATAACCCAGAGACAAACTTAATTTTGCTTCACTGGGACCATGCACTTGAAATGAAGTAGACCCTCTGAAAATGTATGATCTAATGAGAAATGAAAAAGCCAATGGGAATGTATAAGAGGTAAACAGAGTGAAACTAAAAACCCTAGAACTGTCTGCTTTGTACTCATTATAAAAAAAAAGGGATAGTTACACATCAACAGTTTTTTCAGGCGGTTCTTCCTCTTTGACAGGCAGTTCTATGGGCTTTGGTTCTTCTTCCTAAAACCAAATGAAACAAGATGGTTAGCATAAATCAAGAGTAAATACCCAATAATAAAAGAATATGAGAACTCCAAAATGAACCAGTCTTTCAGAACCTTCATTCCCCCTGTATGCTCCCCTAATGAGTTAGCATTTAAGCCCTCTAATGATTGATGTTCAGCAGTGTGACCAAGGTAGTGGCACGTTGCCAGGCCAGTGACTAACCTTACTCTCTCCAACTCACCTCTGTTTCATCTCCCAGTACATCTTCTTCATTTGCCTCCTCTTCAGCTAAAGAATATTAAAATATTCAGGTCAAGCCCTGCTACAAAACCATCTTGATCACTGTACTTAGGCTAAAATTGTATTTATTTTGCTTTCCCAAAATAAAATTAAATAATGAAGGCAGAACTGATGCTTACAAAATTTGTTCCACATGGAGAAGGTAAAACTCTCTTCTTTACCTAACATTGATATGAGGTTAAACTCTAGCTGGACTAAAGAAGTGAACGTGATGAGGCCAAACTATAACATTAATAAAAAATAATGTGGGAGAACTTAGTGTTGGTGAATAATTTCTTAAAAAAAAACCCACAAACAAAAGTAATATGCAAAAAAGTACAAATTTTTCAAAACTAGGGGAGGACTCCACAAAAAAAGAAACAAATGAAAAAGAAGGTATTTGTGTCTAGAACAAACAAGGATATAGTTACTAGAATTAAAGAAGAAATGCCTGCAAACTAATAAGCCAATGATGGAAATCCCAATAGAAAAACGAGTAAAGGAGAAACCCAAAGAACCATGAACAAAAGAAATGTTTAAACTTTTTAATAATAAGAGGAATGTAAATTGAAACCACCAACAGATCAGCAAAAAATCGGGCCACTTGATAGGTCAGTGCCAAGTTTAGGTTTGTGAAGGAGATACACAAAAACCCTCATGTGCTGATAATGAGATTTATAAAGCAATTCAGAAATACAACTTGTCTGTGTTTAGTCACACTGAGTAAACATTATGAATAGATACTCATTAGCAATCCCATTCCTGCGTATATACCCCAGAAAGACTCTCACACCAGAATATAAAGAAACATGAAAGAAGTGGTTCAGGAGGCAATAAAGGCATCAGTCACCTAGTGAACTGAACAAAATGTGGTAAATTCTATATATCATACACTACCATGCAGGAATTAGAATCAACAGACTAGATGACCACACAGCCATAGGCCACACAAATACATCTTAAAAAAACACAGGACTTAGAGAAAAAATGAAAAATAAAGTAAGGCCTTATTAAGTAAGTATGGCCTTACTGCCAATGACATAAAAATACTGTATGCCAAACAACACTACATGATTTACAAGGACAAAGACAAAAAGTATTTATCAAACACTTCAGAATAGTTGCCTAAGGGAGTTGAGGTAAAAGGAATGGAAATAAAAACTAGGGAGGGATGACAGTATGCCTTAGATGAAGTGGTTTTTATTTGTTTTTAAAAAGGTGGAATTAGAGAATGTCAGAGCTAGAAGGGACCAGAGACTATCTAGGTTTATGGATTTCAAGGTTGCAGACACTTGTCTCATGTCACAGAACAAAACAGACACTTAGCCATGAAAACAGTGGCTGTCAAAGTTACCAAGTAAATTTCTGGCGTAAGAGTAATTAGAATTCAAATCTTTAAATCCTCAGTCTAATGATACTTGTTTTACCATACTCTCTTCAACATAATTAGCTGAAATAAAATTACAATGTCTTAAAAGGGAAGGGGGTAATTTCTTTTCATTGTAACCACTGTTTTAGATGACCCAGAATTTTAATACAGTTAATTAAGAGCTTACATCATCAACAACCTAAAGGAAAAGAAATCTTCCATATGGCAGAGCCTAGAAATTAATCCCCTCACTCACATCACTCTGCCTCCACAGAGCACTCACCATGCTCTTCAAGATATGCCTGGAGCCTGTTGATGAGATCTTGTTTTATTCCCTTGGTCTCCAAACCACGAGCAAGACACTCCTGCTTTAGTTCAGCAAGCTGAGGAAAAAGAATAAAGCTTTTCCTTAATTTATAGAATGAACCTGGGGCAGATGGGGAAGAAGAGGTAGTCACACAAGAAAGAAAAAGAAAGTTCAACCCCAAACTACTGCTCTTAATCCCACCAAGCCTCTAGGTCCACAAAGATGGTGTACTTTCCCCTAATAATACTCAATATGCAAGAGGACTTTTCTAACAGATTCTGAAGAATAAACAGCCTAAGTTAATAAAATTTTGATCTAATCATGTATCTGTTTACTATCATAAATCTTTAGCTATTTCTGAAGGGAGAAAAAAAGGTGTCTTTTTTTCCCCAAATAATTACTGTACTAGCTCATACAAGGAAAGAATGAATCTAATAGTCTAAAGGTAGATTCTTCTTACTATCTTACTATCCCAGACTGTTTACTGCAATCTACCATATACATGCATACAAGTATGACCACCATAGAATAGGTAGGTGTGTTAGCTTAATGTCAACAATTGATTAAAGGATCTTTGCCAAAATGGAAAAAAAAAGTAACAGCATGCTACAGAAGACATTATGTTGAAGACTTTGAAATCAGTAACATGACTAATTGTGAGGACAATAGAAGGAGGAAGAATTGATAGATTACTGACAGAACCAAAGAGGGGATGTCACTGGCTCTTCAGGGAGAACAATGAGTCAAAATGAAGACTCAATTTAGAAAGAATAAGGTACACTATAAAGTAGTACACTTATATTCAAAACTTAAAATTGTTAAAAAAAAAAAAAACAGATGACAGGGATCTGGCTCAACAGTAACTCACAGGATAAAGACCTCAGTCAGGGTTTTAGACGATTACAAGTGCAAAAAGAGTTAACAGTATGATTTGTTACCAAAGTAATTTTAAGTTAAGGGTAACTGAAAGAAACAGAATCTATATTAAATGATGTAATAGCTTTACTGGGCTCTGTATTCTCATTTTACGGAGCAAAATGATATGCTCATCCAAGGAGAAAAATGAACAAAAGGAAGGTCCCAAAAATCGTATATGTAGATCAGTGCACAAATACGTATTTGTCCTGAAAAAAGACTTAACCAGTTTTGAGGTAGAGATCTAAGATCAACCAGTAGAAGTTAGAAAGCAGATTCCTATAGAAAAAAGAACTTTACAATTAAGGGAATATGATGGGCATCTTTAGAGGCTTTCAACCACAGCATTTGGAAATGGAGGGGAGCTTTTTTTTTCTTTCCCGACTGGGCAGATGGAGCATTCAGTGAGTGGGGCAGGCAGGGAGGAAGGGATACTATGTGGAAACTGTCCTACTCAACAAGCCAACAGCACCCTCTATTGAGAAACATGGTAGGTAAACACCTATTAAAAGTGTGGAGTGTATGCATAGCATAACATGGCCTCAGACTACCTTGGGTTCAAATTTCAGCTTTACCACTCACAGCTGAATAACCATGGGTGAGTAACTTAACCCCTGTGTGCTTCAGTTTCCTACAAAATGGGAATAATGCAACAGTACCCATAACATACAGCTGTTTTGAAGATTAAACCAGTGAATACTTATAAGGCATTTAGAATAGTGCTTGGCAGCTAACAAGCACTTTATAAGTGTTAGATACTAGATGAAGGGTTAGACAAGATTGGATAATCATTGCTTCTCAGATTTTTGAATTTCAGATTGCTATATTTTTATTTATTGATTGATATATTTTAAAATAGGTAGACTGATAGGGCTACCAACTTTTTATAATATTTCAGCCAGGTTGTGAACCAACACTTTTATGGAACAATAAAACCGTTACTTGAAAAATGATCATACACTTGGATGTAGCAGTGATGTCAAACTGCTGAAGAAGTTTCTAAAAGTTTACTCAATTTTCTATTTTTATTTTTTTACTTTTCACTAAAAAGCACTGGCCTACAGACCATACCTTGAATAGTATTAATCTAGAATCTAGACTGTAAGTGATCTCTAAGATCCATTTCTTAAGTAAGATTCAATCTTTCCTATATTGGTACTTTATTTTCTTTCAGTTTCCTGGAGAACAAGTCTTCTGATTTTAGTTTAAGAGTTTTGTTGATTTGTTATAAAAGTATTACATTCACCGCCAAATAGTTTGACAATTCTGAAAAGTACAGAAGAAAGTAAAAGCCTTATTATGTAACCCCAGGACTTAGGGATCACCTAACATTTTAAATATATCATTTGGGTTATTTGGTGTGTGTGTGCGCGCGCGCATGTGCGTGTGTTTAGAGGGTGTTGGTTGGTTGTTTACAAAGCAATACAGCTTCTTTATTTCCTGTAACTTCTAATCTTCCTCAGAAGACTCCATTCCTTTTTTCTTTTGCTGGTTTAAGCAACATTAAGACCACCTACAAAAAAGGAATGCAAATATTCAGGCAATTCAAAATTCAACTTTCTAATAGAGTTGTTCCTTCCTTCCCCAAATTGTGCCTAGACATAGGCAAAAGTTTACAAAAATTTCCAGACGACAAGGAAACAGACAGTGATGGTTTCTGCATAGGGTGCTGATCTGGTAGATTTGAAGCTGACAGACTGGTACAACTGGTTGTTTAGTGTGGATAGCATCTACCACTGCTGACCACTGACCTTGCCGTTGCCTTTGGTCATTGAAATCTCAGCCTCCACTGGTTCTCAGTCCCAAATCTCAGATCTCTGGCTTATTAAGCAGTCTTCTCAGCACCTTCATATTCCCTTTCTGGTCATATAAGAGTGTTACATACAGTTTTTATACCATGTTGTATTACTTTAGTTATTACATTGTAGGTTCTGCTCCTATACTGGGACATTATTTCAAAAGGGAAATAGATGAGTAAAAACAAAATAGCTAAAGATGAAGTCGTTTTACACATTTTGACACAATTACGTTAATAGTAGGACAAAATCCTTTTAAAGTCTCAAATAAGAACTTATAATATCAAATCCTACCCATTTTTATATGCATTTGACTTCAAAATATTTTAAAAGAACATATTTTAAAAGCAAGGTATACTGAATGAATTGCACAGTATGTGAAATTGTACCTCAGTAAGGCTATTTTTAAAAACCAAGCTATAGAACACTGTATACAGGATACTAACATTAATGTGAAAAATAATATGCACCCCCCCATATAATGTGTATACATAAGATGCCTGGACGAGGAAAGAGCTAAATTAACACTAGTTTAAGGAGTTTGTTGAGGACAAGTATAGGAGGGAAATTTTTTACTATATACTCTTATTACCTTCAGAATTGTGAACTTGTGCATGAATTACCTATTCAAAAGTTAAATTTTTAGTATCAATCTAAAAATATTATTTTTCAGTATTAACAAGGTACCTTTCATTCTACCTAGCCAACCAACAGAGAAAGGACCAATCAACTGACTACAAAATACATTTGACATTACTCATTCATAGCCCTGTGATTTCTACTAATCTTGATTTTTTTTTGGTATATATATATATTTTTTTTATTGAAGTATAGTCAGTTTATAATGTTGTGTGAGTTCTGGTATACAGCATAATGTTTCAGTTATACATGAACATACATATATTCATTTTCATATTCTCTTCACCATAAGTTACAAGATATTGAATACAGTTCCCTGTGCTATACAGTATGAACTTGTTGTTTATCTATTTTATATATATTAGTTAGTATCTGCAAATCTCAAACCCCCACCAATTTATCTAATCTTGATTTTTGATTCAAATCTTTTTCATCTGTTATCTCTCAACCTGGTTTGTAAACATTTCAGGACAGAGACATTTTACATCATTTATAACATTTCATATGATAGAAACTAAAATTTCAAGTACCAATACGTGCCAGGAAAAGGGCTAAGTACTTTTAATGTATGTTCCTCATTTAATCTTTACAACATCATGTGGTTGGTACTATGAGCCCATTTCATAAAACAAGAAAATGAGGCTTAAAGAAACTCAGTAATTTGCTTAAAAATCACCCAGCCAGAAAACAGCAGAGCCAATACGCCAGCTCAGGTCTCTCCAATTCAAGCCCAGTCTTACCAACCAAAATGCGGCACTGCTCTCATGCACACTCTGTCTCTCTTACCATTTTCCTCTTACCTTTCCTCCTCAGCCTCCTTGCTAGCTCTTCTTCCACCCAACCCTGTAAATACTGATATTCACTGAGATTCCTTCTTTGGCCTTTTTATTCTTCCACTTATACCAAAGGCTTTTTCACTTCCTGGAATCCAATTATTGGCAAATCCTGTTGGCTCTACCTTCAAAATATATCCAGAATCTAACCCCTTTTTGTCTTTCACACATACTATCGTAAAAACTCTTCAGCCTTTGAGCCTCATTACAGTTTATTCTCAGCAAGGTAGTCAGAGTGATTCCGACAATTTAAGTCAGAATATGTCATTCTTCTAGTCAGAAATCCTCCATGGGTTTCCTATCTCATTAAGGGTAAAAAGCCAGAGTCCTAATGAGCACCTCTAAGGTTCTCTTATTAATACTTTGCACAAGGCTCACTCTTCTACCTCCTTCAAGTCTTTGCTTAAACATCACCTTCTCAATGAGCCCTTCCCCTACATCCTATTTCAAATACCTTCTTACCACTGTACTCCTTGTTCTTATTTTTCTTTACAAACCTTATCATTATTTGACATACATCAATAAACTTCACTTATTTATTGTCCCTTCCCCCAGTAAAATATAACCTCCATGACAGCAAGATTTTTGCCTGCTATGTTCATTGCTGTATCCCCAGTACCAATGGTAGCTGGCACATGGTAAGCAATCCACAAATATTTTAAACTTTGATCAGCTCTCAGCTCTTGAGCAGGAGACCCCACATTTCCAAATGACTACTAAATATCTCCAAGGTCCTGTCTCAAAGACACTTAAACCCCAAACTGAACTTTTCTTCTCCTGCACAAAACTGGCTTCTTCTCCCAACCTAGACTAAAAGTATCACTATTTGGAGTCATGTTTCATTCCTCCCACATCTAGCTAATCTGTAAGTACTTATAATTCTATATCCCAAATTTCTTTCAAATTCATTCCTATTCTAAAAGCCACTACCTTTTCCAGGTCTTACTATGTTTATTCACTTGACAAATAGTTACTGAGTACCCACTGTGTGTCAAGCATTATCTTAGATACAAGAAAATGATCATAAACAAAACAGAAAGTTCCTGCCCACATGGAGCTTACAATCTAGTAGGAAACAAGACAATCAATGATCATACAATGTTTAACCGATAAAAAAAAGAACTATAGTATAAAAGCATTTAAAAGGTGGCCTGACCTTGTGTGTGGATGGATGGAACCCATCCTACCTAAGGGTTCCTTGGATAAATGATGTTTGACTGATATCTGAAGGACAACTAACAGTTATTTCAACAAAGGTATGGGGGATGGGAGTAGCAAGAGCACTGAGTCCAAAAGCATATGTAAAGGTTCTGGGTACTAAGCTAAGGAGAGGCAGTCATGCACGGTGATTAAAAACATGAATTCTGGAAACAGATTGCCTCGATGTGAGCTACCATTTATTAGCTGTGTGACCTATGGCAAGTTATCCAACGTCTCTGAGCTTCCATTTTTTGAAATGGGAACAATACAGGCATTCACCTTATAGGATTACTTTGAGAATTAAACCAGTTAACATGTAAAAACAGCTTTGACCAGCGTTTGCCACATAGTAAATATTATGTAAATGTCAGCAATTAATGAACACAGCCATTCTGAGAAATGAAATAAAGCCACTTTGCTTGGAATGTGAGAAACTAAGCTGGAGAGATTGGCAGAGATATAATTAAAACGTTTTAAGCAGGGGAGTGACTTCTATAATAAAAATCTAACTGATGAAATATCTTCCTCTCCAGACCCCATCCTTCTTAATGCTAAAAGAACACAAACTGATAACATCAGCTCCTCCTTTCAAAATCCCAAAGGCTCTCCACTTTCTGCCTACATGACAAAAACCAAACACTGTACACAACTTAAAAGGTCCTTTTCAGTATCAATCCAATCTACCTCCAGTGACACAGTTCACCTACTTTACTTTCCAAACTATCTTCAACTACAAACATATATGCACTTTACGCTTCAGTATCACAAATGTCTCACTGTTCTCAACACTCTTGACACTAATATACCCTTCTTGTTCTCCTCTTCTCTGTAGTCCCTTTTTTCATCCTGGATTGGAAATCTGTTACTATTACAGTTCAGAGCATTTTTACCCACAATTCAGTCTCTCTTTCCAACTGTGTTCGAATGACTGCATTTCTACAGAATCTTCAGAAATTTACAGTTGATGTGGACTTACGTATCAATTGACAGGTATTATGTTTCCTTCCCACTTCAAACTTTGTACCTTTCCTCTGAGATCCTATACTAAAGTCCTCAAATTCTCTTTAGAAAAATAGAAAGTTGTGTTTTTGTTGTTTTTTTTTAAAGAGACAAACACTAGGTCAACCCAAAAGTCAGGATCACTCCACCAAGTTCAACAGTGGAACCAAACATTAACCATCCTGGAAGTCAGAATTAAAGGCATGGGTTCTTAACCAGAGGTCCATGGACTCCTCAGGGCTACAAGGTAGTTTTATAAAGCCCCTTAAATCGCATGCAAAGTGTATGTACATGCCTTTTTCTGGGGAGAGGGTCCATACCTTTCATCAGAGTTCAAAGATATCTGTGACCTCCAAAAGGTTAAGAAGTGCTCTAGAGAAAAAGCAAAAACAAGCAAATATGATTAAAAGAGTGAATCCCTTTTAGGCTGTCAGGACTGTCTCATGTTCTCTTAGACTATAACACCTGAAATCAGGTCAGAGGACATTTCCCAATCAAAACGAAATTTAATATAGACCTGACAAATACACATTTTTATGGAAGGTGGAACTCCATAAACCAACAAAATCCATAAAGACAAGTCACTAGGCTAGTACTTACTCTAGGGGTTTCAAAAACGGAACTACTAGGAAGAAAAATTAGAAATTCACATTTCCTTTTTATCTCATTCATTCAAAAGTTCCTTTTCTGTGTATATTTTATAACATACATAACAAGACAGTACATAATTTATATAAGTAAGTATACACATAATGGAGGTGTTTGCTCAACTTTTTTTACTTGCCATCCTACTTGGAGAGCACTGATACAATCTACACCTTTCAGGACCACCAAGTTAACAGTAACTCCAGGATAACACAAAAATCCACTAGGCCAGTTTAGAATACAAGAGTAAGAAATCTATCAGCTTTCACAGAAAGGCTAATTGGTGTCAACTAGTAAGTGACTAAAAGGACCTCTCCCTAGCCTTAATCTCCTTATGCTCTTTTTTTTTTTTAAAGGCTCATCAAGCTTTAAAGGGTAAGTTTTCAGCTTGGGCTACACCACCTTGGTTTGTCAAAGGCTCCCAGGGCGTGACCAAAACATGTGATGGGAAAACTACTTGTGAAACCACGAATGGACATCTAATAGAGATATTTTATTAATTCACCCTAAAAGAAACTACTCTTTTCTTCCAGGAAAACAATAATCTAAATTTAAAAAAGCTACCAAGATTTCCAAGACACAACTCCAAACCGCTTTTGTGGTTGAGTGTCACCCAGTGGTGACACCAAGAGATGCAGGGTCCATCCGCGATATGAAATGGGACAGAGATAACCCTAATCTTGGAAATGTTTTTCCAAACTATCACAGCTCTGAGCAAGTTGCTCCCTGGTGGTGGGGGCAAGGCTGGCGGGCAAAGAACCGCGTGAGAGAACTCGAAAAACTTTTCAATCTAGGGTATCTGTGCCTTTACTAATTCTTAAGGTCTCTAAAGCCCAGGCCTCTACACAGAGGCCTATCTTCGGAGGCCTCTCCTCGGGTTTCAAAATTCGCCCCGGGGGCATCACCCCACCTAAAAACGGGGAGTGGAAGCATTTTCTGTATCAAGTTTGAGACCTGGATGGGCAGAAAAACACGAAGGTGCCATAATCTGCTAACGGGAAGCTCAGTTTTGGACAAGAGACAAAAAAAGCATCAACCCAAGGGAGAAAAGGGGGTCCCGGGTCCCGCACGGGCCAAGAGGAGGAGACAACTGACGTAATGCAGTCTGACGAGAAACGAAAAGGGAGTGGAACAGGTTGAAGGCACTTACACAACCCGGCGGGGAAGTGACGGACAACAAAGGTGGAGGAAGGGGCCAAAATAATAAGTAAAGATACAGTAAAACTGGGAGAAGAAATAGAAAATTAGGGAAGGCGTAATGGGGAGGAAGGGAGGCACAAAAGAAAAGAACTACGGTAGTAGCCGGAAAACGAAGTGGAAGAGCCCTCAAGGAGAACACGCAGGAAAAGGCGCAAGCCACTCGGCAGAATTCAGTCTCCGGAGAAGTCCGCTCCGGCCCTTCCCCCATCACGGTACCTTCAGCTTATGGAGCTCCACCGTCTCGGCCGCCATCTTGTTACCCCTCCACTCGGCCAGGCCCCCACCCGCTGCCTCCGTCTCCGGGAGCTCCCGCCTCGGCGCCGACAGCCACAGCCCGCCAATCGCTGCCGCCCTTACTCCCGCCTCCTACCATCAACTCTTCTCATTAGTCGATAGCTGGCGTCGCCCTCTCTCCAGTTAGATGCTTTCCCCACCTCTCTCGAAAGGTGGGACTAGGAGAAGGGCGGGTTCGGGACCTTCCGATCGACGGAAATGGTGACCAATTGTGCGTCCGATTGGAGACAGGTAGCCAATGGGTGGTGGCAGCCCTGACTCTGCTCCACCAGTAGGCTGCGCGCAGATGGGCCGGGGCGGCTGCTTCCTGGAGACCGCAGGTGTAGAAGCAGCGCCGCGCCCCGAGTCGGACGGGCTTCCGAAGTTGGCAGGTAGGGGTACCAGGAAACTGAAAAGGGGTGCCAAAGAAAAAAGGTGGGAGGCGAAAGTGGGGCGTGGGTGGAGCAGCGGCGAGCTAAAGACCGAGAGAGGAGAGCTGAAGAGAGCCCTGAGGGGAGCCGATGAAGGAGAGAGGGGAGCTGGGAGGAGCAAGGGGCGGGCTCAATACCAGTGTTTAGGGAATTTTAGGTAGAGGGCGGGCAAGAGCTGCTTCCTAACTGGGCATCAACTTCTGGGCTAACACGATTTTAAAGGGCCAAGTTCAGACTATCAGAGCCGCCCCTGGAGTCGGGAGTAGGACTTCATCTCTCGAGACGCGTAGCTCAGGTCCTTTCCTAGTTAAATCCAAAAGCCCTAGGTGCATTCTTGCAGCGCCTCACGCTTGAGAGAAAGACACTGCCTGTTTACATGCCAAGGAGATGACAGGACGGGCGAACCCCAGAGGAAAAGGTGGGGATTAGATGAGAAAAGGTAGTTCTACCCCATATCCCTCCTTAGTGGTTCCTTGTTTCCCATGTTCCTCTTCTGAAATTCTGGGTGTACGTTAACGTCTTCAAGGTTCTTTATTAACTTCTTCAGGAAAGTAAAGTGAGGCATTTGTTTCCATTGCTCCTTTAAGCAAGTACTAGGCTTAAGCCTTCAAGTTACAGTTAAGTGTAAGAATCAGAAGAAAGATTGCCTTCTAGTTTTCTCCCTCAAGTCTGCAGTTTTTCTTTTGTGCATTTTGGGGAAGTTCTTTCCTTCCCAATAGAGTTCAGGGGATTTTGGCTATTCAGGAGACAACTTGGAGGAACAGACTCAAAGAGGGGTTGAGAGGAAATTAAGTTGGATTCCTGCCTGATCCCCCACTGTGGTAGGATGAATGTGGGGGTGGCACACAGCGAAGTAAACCCCAACACTCGAGTGCTGAATAGCCGGGGCATCTGGCTGGCCTACATCATCTTGGTAGGACTGCTGCATGTGGTTCTACTCAGCATCCCCTTCTTCAGCATTCCTGTTGTCTGGACCTTGACCAACGTCATCCATAACTTGGTGAGCACTAACCCATGCCCTTACCCACCCCAGGCCTTAACCAACCAAAAACAAAATAAAACCACCAATTATTTGGGGATTTCGCTCTTCCTTCTGGGATCTAAGCATACTTCTTGGGCTGAAGGACTTCTTTCTGCCCTCCTCACACTGCCCCCTCCCCTCCTCCCAGGCTATGTATGTCTTTCTACATACGGTAAAAGGAACACCCTTTGAGACCCCTGACCAAGGAAAGGCTCGGCTACTGACACATTGGGAACAGATGGACTACGGGCTCCAATTTACCTCTTCCCGCAAATTCCTCAGCATCTCTCCTATTGTACTGTGAGTCCAGGGGGAGATATGGGAGATGCTTCAAGAGCCAGGTACAAAGGCCCACAGGGAAGCTTTAAAAAAGCAGACTACTACTCACTTAGACCCTGTGAAGACAGTATAGTATCCTAGGGTCTAAATCTAGGGAGAACAGTAAAAAATAGAAGACAGTAATCAAGCATTACTTGCTGCCTCCTTGGTGGTAGGGGAATGGAGAAGGGACTGAGAAAAGATAAAACATATAATAAAACAAATTGTTGTACACTTCCAAAAGAAGTGAATAAATAAAAGCAGAACTGACGTAAAACTGTGAAAACTGACTGAGAAATGGAAGCAAAAAGGAATCTAACAGTCATACAGGCTGAAATTGCTTCAGCTGTCATTTGCTGTGTCATTAACAATAAAAAAAAACACTAATTTATAAATCTCCAGTTAAAGGTGCTATCTGATGATCTGCCCAACACCAAAGTAAATAGTTAATATAGCTGGAATATTTTCAGATATCCTAGGATTACAGTAAAACCGGTCATTTAAAATAGAAGAGGACGTCACTGGAAAGGCCTGATACGGAAGGCCAACTTGATTCAACCTATTTCTTCTCTTCCCCAGCTACCTCCTGGCCAGCTTCTACACCAAGTATGATGCTGCTCACTTCCTCATCAACACAGCCTCATTGCTCAGCGTACTGCTGCCTAAGTTGCCGCAATTCCATGGGGTTCGGCTCTTTGGCATCAACAAATACTGAGGGATGGAGCCAGGGACAACACTGGAACAAGGGCTATAACATCCCTCTCCTTCCATCATACTGTCTTCTTTATCTTGAAAGCCTGAGAACTAGACAGCCTTTCCCAAACTCGCACTGGAACTGCAAACATTCCCAAAATTTCACTGGAAAATGGGTGCCCTTGGCTCAGCCCTGCTAGGAGCAGGTTTCTTTGAATCATGAAAGACAGGTGAGGTAAGGGCCAAATCACTCTTCTCCACAGCAGGAAGCCATGTTTGGGCAGCTTTTTGGTTGATTATAAGTTTTTCCATATTATCCATTCCCACTGCCTTCCAGCTCTGTTTTGTTGTGTATTTTCCTTATAATAAAGATACACTTTTTTCAGATATGGCTACAATCTGATCAGCAGGAGGGGTAAGGAGATGTCTTCATAAGGCTGGGGAAGAAAGATGCAACAGTGACTTACTTAGAGAAGTATAAAATTCTCTAAGGTATTTTTTTTAATCCCCTGTCCCTTGGTCCAGTAGGAGGTGCCCTTTACTCTCAGCTAACAGTAGGGAAAAGATTCTCAAATGAAAAAAAGGGCTCCAGCTATATGGGCAAAGAAGAGAGGGCAGATACAGGTTGCCAGTTACATATTTATAGAAAGATAATCCCCTGGCTTTAAATAGATATGTACATACAAATATGAACAAACTTAAAAAAATACAAACCCTTGGATCATATGGGGGCTGCCGGGAACCTCTTTATCCTTCCCCATCACCCAAGGGCAGAGGGCATGAATCTGCTTTTTAAAAGTTACTAGTTTTGGCCATCCCTGCAACAAGCATGAAGTTGGATGCTTACCCACAAGGTGAGAGTTGCCACTCTGAACTCTGTATGTCCTATAATGAGGCTTACATGCTTTCTTGTTCTTTTTTACTAGTATATTGGGGCAAGGGAGGGGGGCTCCCTCCTCAAATGGGTCAAGAAAAAAGATAAGACTTGTAGTTTAAAAAGGGGAGAAAGTGTCATCTGCCATAGAAGCAAAGGACAAAACAAAGGCATACAGACCTCAGGGAAATACCCAGTTCCCACACTACTGTGGGAGATATTGTCCAGTCCAGATCCAGGCCCTTAGGTTCTTTGCTCTAGCCACCCTCAATTTCTTTGGTATTGTCAGAAGACAAGATTCAGTTCCTGGGTGCTGATGGAGGAGGGAGAGTGGTTCCAGGGCTTCCTACAAATATTGAGTGAACGATTTGAGCTTAAAATCTTCCCTTTTTAAAATATTTAAAAATAAACAAATCAAACTCCATCAGGTGCTATACACAGCCCTTTTGACTCCCTGACATTGATTTGAGGAAAGAGAAGGGGGGGGGTCAACGTTGGAAGGGCCTCCTCACTTTCTTCCGCCGCTTGGGTTTGGCTTCTCCCTTGGGTACTGTGCTATTGGGCTTGGAGGCTGCAGTGGCCCCAGGACCAGGCTGAGGAGCTGCAAAGAAGTTCCCATTGGACATCTGGCCTGGGGGTACTTGAAAAATCCGGCTCAAGAAATCCTGAAGGTCAGCAGGAGGGGCATCTGGGGTAGCTCTGAGAGGAAAACAGAAGGCATGATGAGGCAAGAGATACTGCAGTCAAATGGTTACCCATGTTACCTATTTATACGTACATTAAAGATAATTCTGAGTCAGTCCCCGAACTTCTTAAAGGTGACACGACTACATGTCCTAAACAGCATGTCATTTGAAACCATATTCAGAATGAGAAGAATGGATAGATTATTGAGAGAAATACCACCTACCTCTGCCGCCCACTGGTGCCTGGCATCCGCGAACCAAATGAGATGTGATAGGGGACTCTGTGGGTATCTGGGGAGATTCCCACACGCTGGCATCCAGCCCACTCTGCAAGCATGAGAGATAATTAGCCAAAATATCACAGTTTTGAGGATGTATGAGCCCAGACTTCTAGAGGGCAGAAGTATACCTGTGATGTCATACACCTTTCCATCCATCAGCGCAAAGTAGGTGATCTTGAGGCCCAACATGCTTGACTCTGCCCAGAAGTCTCCTTCCTCAGCAGGATGCAGCCTATTACACTCAGCACAGTATCTGGCATTCTTAGGTTCCCGGTCCATTTCAAACCTCCTAAAACCAAACATAAGGACAGTTCCTTAATAATTCGTGAAGCCTTCTTAGGGCACTGCTGTAGTCTCATCCTTACTGACAAATATGGCTGCAACAGCTAAAATGATCTCCATATGTAACAATGATCAGTTGTTACATATGCCCACATACACCCTGCCCTCAACCTTCTACCTTACAGCTAGAAATGTTATCTTTTCTTCTTGCTAATTCCAATTCTCAATCTCTTGACAATATGGCAAAAGTAAAAACCTCAGGGTCCTTTTACTCTTTTTACCATCTGTATCACATAACTACCAATAATACTCACAAGGAAGGTTTTTGGCTACCCAGTTCCTAAGCTGTGGCTGTCCCATTCCTGTCCTATTTCATACCTATGCTTTCCCTGGCATCGGCTGCACATCATAGTATTCATTGCCTCTTTGAGGTCATCCTGCAGCTTGGACAGAAACTCATTCACTGACCGGCTCAGCTCATTCTCTGCCA